GAACTGAAACTACGAATGGCGGACGCAGAGCTTTGGGTTCCACTTACCTTAATTGGAAACGACTCACGGGGCATTGCTCGCAGGCTATCATTACCATACTTTACTCTTGAAATCCTTAGCAGAACCGTTTTCTCCTGCAAACCTGTATAGTGCCGTTAATGGCTGACATCCCAATTCGTCTACCTGTTTTCCTGTTAAGCTTGAGCTAAAACCCGCAGTGCTTTAGCCTTGACCCGCAATCCTTTAGTCAAAACCCGTAATGCTTTAGCCACTACCGGTAATCCTTTAGCCGACACGCAAAAACGTTAGTCATGCTGCGGTAGGTGAGTTAGATCTAAAAGTACCGGAATGTTCTGAGAGGTCAACAGATGTTGGAACATTTGATTTGCTAAAACTGTTGATGTTGCGGAGCTTGGTTAAGAAATGTGGTGGGGTGACTGCATATTGCAGGTCATGTTGATTGGAAAACCATTTAGTAAATCTAGTTTAGCTTCAGTGTTTCCACGTAAAACGTGCTACCTATGTAAGTAAAAATCTGAGCTGTAAAACAAAGGCTCGACATGAATTAAAAAGGTGATACAATAGAAAAACGAATGATTCGATAACGTATCTCCACTGAAAGTGAACTCCGTTTTTGAGAAATGGTTATTTTAACAGTCCACGAATAATGAACACCGTTAACAAAAGACAACCTCGTTAGTAGGCCTTTTCTCATCAAGCTTTAGTCAAAATTCTTAATTTTGTTGCATGCATGGGTTCTGCCTGTGAGGTCCCTGGTTTGATTTCCAGTTGGGTCGGTGGATTTGTACTGCTGATGAGACCCAACCAAGTGAAAACAGCTGTGCAGTGCTTCCTGGTTTTTCAGTTCACACTTCACTTGCTATATACACGACGAATTCCTTTTTTGAAATTCTGGAACTACCGAATTGGATTTCTTCCACCATATAGTCCTTATTTTAGCCCGCTGTAAGAGGTTTTCAGTGAATTCAAACGGGTAAACGTTATTTATACTTTGATTCACTCATTATTTAACACATCAAGAACTGATTCACTGAAAAAATTGAAGCCATACAAGATCTACAAATGGTTCGACGGTACTGGCACATTGGTCACAGCTTCTTCAAGCAATTTGCGGGGCACTTGACACCGTAACGACGGTAGACTGCGCAGCATGCGATCGCCACATATTTATCATTTCTTAACCAAGCTTTACAATGTCAACATTTGTAGAAAATCAAATATGCCAACATTCGTTAAACTCTGAATATTCCGATACTTTTTGATCTGACTCACCTACAGTGACATGATTATAGTTTGTGTCACGGTTACAGAACTAAAGTATTATTGGGTTTTGGGTAAAGCATTGTGGGTCAGAGATAAAACACTGTAGTATTGGCTAAAACCCAATGTGATAAGCTTCAGTATCAAGGTGTTTATCGAAACAATCTAGTCCAAATATTTTCCCACTGCATCCGGTGAGCAAGTACAAACAGGTACACATTCGTGTTTACTACACTGTCCGTTGAGTAACTTGGTCGCGCTGCCGTGGAGCAAAATGCAAAGAGTCGAAAAAGTCGAATTCTGAACATGGAAGATCTTTCGGGACACGTAAAACAAAAATATAAAACTCCTTTTAATTTCTCGACCGAATGCTCTGATCACCGGAGTGGGATGGTGTATACATAAACCAAACCTATTGGAGATCGCGGACAGGTCGAAAGCAACTGATTGCGACAAGTGAGCGGCATATTCGACTGAATTATATTGTATTCCAGTTTAATGATTTTTGCAAGCAACTACGCCTGCATTACTGTCAAGCACTGTGATCGGACTTATACTGGGATACAAATAATGAAATAATTCATATAAACCGAAGCGGAAACAAATGATCATCGTTGTAGATTCAAAATTGGTGCATTTAGGACCTTACTCGTCTCATTTAGAATGTGAACCAATTAGGGTATTGTGGAATTACGATGAATGTTTATGTGAGAGGATAAGCAGCGAAAATCTAATCGAATTGTGAGCTGGGAGTGGCAGATAGATAGATAGATAGATAGATAGATAGATAGATAGATAGATAGATAGACAGGGATTGAAATGTTTATCGGGGTGATTAAGAGTCATATGAGCGAAATTCTTTTTATAAAGTAATATGTAATTCACTCAGTTTTGTGATTAGGATGTTTATAGGACTGCGGGAAACATGACTCAAAATTGTAAAGCTGCGGTGAAGGGTAATGAAACCTTCTCCAAGTAGGGCAGGAAAAGCAATAGGCGAACAGTAAAGTATGACAGGAAAAATGCACTGGTAAACGAGCAAATTGTAGTTGAGTGCTTCAAAGTAAATTTTTTTAACTTGCGCACCTTGTAGGATAATGGACGCAATATACCAACACAGGTTTTATTATGTAAGAATTACCGTAGACTACTCTCTATGGTGATGCCTAGGTGTTTGGTGGTGTGCGTTCTGGTAATGGGTATGGAATTATTGATAGCGGGATATAAGAGATAAATATTCAAACCGAAAAAGACTAACAGCGCATTCAAAACATGTCAAAGTATTCCACTAGAGATCAGATTGATTGAAAAACTGCTAACCTGTCAGAAAGTAGTTCCATGTCAGGCTGGCTTGAGATCGCTTGATCTAGGGCCACATCATCAGCATATAAAGACCTTAGCTGGCGGGATAGACGATAATTCCCTGTTCAATGTTGAAAATAAGTATGGAGAAAGCGCAGCACCCTGAAGGACTCCGAATTTCACATAAATTATTTTCATATAGTCCAGTTCGGGTTTATTCATTTAATTATATTTACTCTCTATCTAACTAACATTCATCTCATCCATTTCTCTATCATCGTATCTACTGTTGGAATTTGGACGTTCCGGCCCAGATGTTTAAAAGTTCGTTTTATTTTGTAAGTTCTCACAACATTCAAGAGATCAGATTCGACAAGGATTATTCCCTAATCACATTGCATGTCCCAATGTACTTGTATTTTATTAATATATTATAATCTACAGTTTGTGTTCTCGCCTATATTTGACTACGAAAATACCTTTTCGCATTCCATCTCAACAGGTTCAAACTGGCGAATCACGAAGGTTTGGTAAAACCAACAGTATCCTACGGTTTAAAGTTTGTAGACAATTTCACTTCACGCTTCATTTGCTCTTTACACGACGAATTCGCTCTAGGAAATAACCAATTACCATGATTTATATTATTATTGCAAAATGAAAATTACGGGACTAGGTGGCAACTCCGGTTTTATTTTATTTTTATGCGCCCATCACGCTCAAAATGTATCGCAAACGTCTTTCATTTTTCATACTATTAGCGCGGATTTCCTTTTACTCGGCTACCACAAGGATAAATTGATGTTTCTGGTGATGAGTGGAACATAAAGTAGAATAAGTTGCTCCAAAATAGTAACTAGTTCTTCACATGAAGTATGTTTCCGAGTGCCACACACACCAGTCCTACGTGTATATGTCGGTGTATGTATGTTTACATACTGGAATCGGAATTAGCATGTGATCAATGCGAGCCCCTCGAGCAATGTTCAGAACAATTTTGAGTGCACCTGCTCACCTACTAGCAGTTTGTGAGTAGTTGAATGATGAACACGTAAGTTCTGTAAACAATAGCTATCAGGTCGTGCTGCCTTGCAGAACCCGACCACAGTAGAGCCAGTATTTTAATCATATTTCACTTTAGTTTAGAGTTCACATTAGGGTTGCTTCAAGTGTGATTAAATTACGTGTAACACTTAGTGAATATAAGGTGACTACAACCGTAGTTCAAAGCAAAAACAAACCATATGCTAA